GCCGCTTTCCCTTTCCCTGTTTTCACAAGTATAGCATAAGTATAGCTTTTGGCAACTGAGTGTTCAGCCAAGGCTATTGCCCAAAACCAGTCCACTTGCATCGATGGAATGGCAGTCTTCGATGCTGCTGGCAAGTGTCCTGATGTTGACAAAACGGTATTTAGTGTTCAATTTCTTGTTTTTTTAGATCCCTGATTGATGGAATGGCCTTAAGCAGTCTGCAGTTGAAATTTATTTGGGTGTGGAGGGGATCGGCCACTGGCCTTGAACATAGGGGATCACTTTGATTGCAGCCGACTTTGGGGCTGCAGCGCTGAGAGCCACATCTGAATACTTCATTTTTTTCTTCATGTGAAGCAACTACCGTGAAGTTGCATGTTTCGTTCATACAACATGCAGCCAGCAAATGTCCCGTGTGTTTCCGTGTGTTTCATGCACCAACAGCTGCAAGTCCACTCAGTGCTACCGGCAACTCCACGGTTGTATTGATTGTGTCCGAGTTGCTGTAAATCGCATTTGAGGGAACGCTTATATAGATAGATGTTTGACAGAGTTGGAATCCAACACCCGAAGCAGCACGATCATGAAGTACGAGGGATGGTTTTGATAGGTAATTTTCGATGGAAGTTGAGACGATTTTGGTTGGATAAACTCTATTTGCCTCGACTTGACCTGGACCTTCGGGTTGGCCCTGGCAAGGCCGCACTAATCGAGGTTGAGTTTCGGTCATCGGCGTCATCAGCTGTTTAAAACGCGGTTTCCTTCCCGGTCATCAAGTCACCCGACGGTTTGATCCATGAGATGTTCACATTGAGAGCCAACGCGGCACCAGTGTGACCATTGTCGGTGTGGTCCGAGACTGCGAATGGCAGTCTTGCTCAGCCGTTCTGGTTGACAAGTTCAACAACAAAAAGGCTTTGGAATAGTTATATATACATATAGTATCATAGTACAATATAGTTACATGTTGCCTGATTTTAGCGTCGTGCATCCGCCTTGAAATTCCGATGGTTGGAATCGACATGTTGATCTTGAAAATATAGAATCATGCATCGAGAGATACTGAGATACGGAGATGCCGAGCCTCCTAGCCAGCTCCATGTTCGAGCCATTTCGAGTCAGCCGGACTGGTTTGGTTAAGTAAACCGACTTCGACCAGCCTGCACGACACCAATCCACATCTATCCACTGTGTGGTCGATGAATGGTCAGACTTAGGCATTGAGGAGCCATCTTCTTCGGAGCAGGAGGGCATGGAAGAGCCATTCACGAAGGGTTACCAGATCCCTTGCCTTGAGATTGGCATCGAGCAGCCAAAGGAGTCCAGCTGTGCATTGAAGGAGTCCAAGGGGGAAGAAATCCATGAGCAAGTCTCAGGCGGGTTTGGAGGATTTGTAATTCGGGATGTTACTTTTAATTCTGTGATCTAGCAGGCATGATTCCGGGAGTTTGGGGAGGTGCAAAGGCGAAGGGTCTTCGTGCAGTGTTCCCCTGCAGGTAGAGCACAGCACTGTCACTGGAGGGCAGACAAAACCTGCAGAGACTCAAGATCAACCGTTCAGGTTGAAAAAGAACAGTGTTGACTTCGCGGGTGCAATGCCTCACCTGAAATTTATGCTCAATTGACCGTCAGCGAGTCAGAATCACACATCCACGGGGTGTTCAGGCACCTACAGTAATGATGCACAGATGCACATATATGCAAATGTACAAGAAAAAGAACTTGTGCGCGGTAATGATGCAAGTGATATCTTTTGTAAGGAGTTAATACTTCCCCCAATTCCTAATATGGAATATGGTACCTGCAAACACCCTTTCACTCTTCTTGAGACAGTTCTTGAGACCAATTTGACAACTGGAGCTGTCCTGTACAGGTGCTGATCACGGGACTGGTTTACCCACGTCCCTTAGAAAGAGTCCCATATTGGTCAAAATGCTCACTTTGGGACACGTTCAACTCTGGCCCTGGGTTCCGTGGAAGTGTCCAAGGCCGTCTCTTTCTGGGCGAGGACCTGTTTTTGGTGTTCTTCCCACAGCTCGTGTGAGTGACAGAGGACCTTGATGTAAGGCTGACAGCTGGTCCCTCATGTTGACGTCTTTTCTGCCCAGATGAATAGTTTGAGTCAGGACTCGTCGCGGATTTAGGGTTTTACCAAACCCAACGCTTGCCGTCTCACCCTCGACGCAAGAAACCCTTGCACCCGGCAGCTGCGGATGCCAATCAGGTGCCAACCGCTCGAGCGGTCCAAAAGATGCTGGATGGGTGCCGGGATAGCCAGTACCGAGTACCGAGAGGAACCCCTTGCGATCCGACCCCCCGTTTAGGTGGTCCATCCATAAGCTTCAACGAAGGTGCAGATCGAATGAAGGGTTAAGTGAAACCACATCCATAAAGCTTGGCAAAGCCAAAAAAATACTCTTGGGACCAACTCGCTGTTTCTTTGCGTCATGGATTTGGGATTCCGCTGAACAAAGCCAGCCCCAGCGCCATGCAAACGGCAAGGCCCCAAGGCCACATGTCGGTATTTTTCAGATGCCAACTAATATTAGCGAAACTATAGATATATATATATATTATTCTATATCAATATGTTATAATTAGTGATAGTAGATTGAAAGTTCCAGAGCATCCATTCCTTGAAGGCTGCCAGATCGTCTATATTTTATTTGGATATTGGGCTGCGGTTTCGTCAGACCGGCTATCCGGCTATCCATGGTTTACCCAAGGCACTTTGCAATGCTGTGCCTTGGCAAGAATGGGAAGAAGTCACACTTGGTCTCCAGATCTTTTGGACTTCCTTTGAAATGGAAATGTGACTACAGATCTTCGTGAGTTGCATAGCTAGCTGCTTCTTCGGGAGCGACGGCCGGAGTGGCGCCGGAGTGGCCCCGGAGTGGCCCTTAGCAGCCGGGTCACTCGGATCACTCGGAGCGACCAAGGAAGTTCCCTAAGCGACCTTGCTAGTTTGCTTGGTTGGTTCATCTCATAGCCTCAACATCAGGCTTGCCGAAGATGCACCAACTTCCGGGTTTGTTCAGGGGAAAAAAGCGGAACTGAAAATCCGACTTGCAGGTCCTCAGCGCTTGTGAGGCCGGGGCAGCTTGTGCAAGACTAGGGCTTGTGGAGCAGCAACTTCATGGCAACAGAGCATGAAAATGCATGAAAAAAAACACCCTGGAAGATCAACATGGACCCTGAAAACCACTGGGTGGTGGTGGTAGATGAGAATTGTTTGTCCCAGGGGTCCATTTTCACGGGCTGTCCATTTGGTCACTCCAAGAACGAACTTCTCAATATTTTCAAGAGCGCGTTTCAATGCGTTTCAGATGCAATCTTTTAAGCCAGCCCAGCCGCCCTTGATGCCGCCGCCAGTCGTACGCAGCAGGCGCATTGGCGCGCAGCATTGTGGATGTTCTATTGGTCGAGTTCCCAAATCCCCTTGGATTCTTGGCAGGGCCGTCCTAAAGCCTTCGCCCACCGGAGGGTAAAGGAGCACAGAAACCTAGGCGGTTCCACTTCTATGTCGCTTCCCGGGTGTGGTCATATCATTTTAGAACTCAGAACGACTGCTGATCCAGATCGTTTTCCAATTGGGACCGGCCGTTGCCTTTGGACTCACCGTCCGTTTCGTCCGCCGAACAGTGGACGAACGTGACGTGAAACCGAATGTTTGATGGAGGACCCCCGAATCAGTTGCGACATTGGGGCGATCTATAGTAGAACGACATAGAACGACGGGTTCTTTTCGGACGTACTGTCATCCCAATGGTGAGATATGGTGAGGAGGACGGTTGGAGTGAATAGCCTGAAGAACCGTCTTTTTAAGTCAAAAATGTCAATCCCAAAAGTCAAAGTCAATAAAAGTCAAATCAGTAAGTTTCGGAAAGTTAAAAAACAGTCAATTTGCACAGATCTGATGTTTTTCAACTTTTTGGACTTTGTTTGATGTTATATTGACTGTTTTCGACTTTTTTTTCACGGTTTCGAGACTTTGTTGACGTGTTTTTTCCGTATGTTTTGCTGTTTCGAGTTGTTGTTTTATTTTGCTTGTTTTTCTACTTGTTTGTGTTTTTTTACTTGTTGCTTTGACTTTTTCGAGCTGTGGTCTATGTTTGACTTTTTTGAATTGTTTTCTGTTTTTTGACTTTTCAATTTGACGTTTTTTGACTTTGACTTTTTTTGACTTTTTCGTTAAATCAAGGATTCTGGCCTTACCATATGAAAGATTCTTTTAAAACTACGTTGCATGTTTCTCTACGGATCTCAGTTCGTTGCCACGTCATGATATGGTAACAAGCTCTCCAGGTGGTATGCTGGCGGATCCCAGAGGCTGTAAGCAATTCGGAGTAAACACTTGTCATTGCTGCATTGTGGAACGTTATGTCGCCAAATCGTGCAAGGGCAGAAGAAGAGGCATTTGTAAACGTTCACCACGCTTTGCACCCCACCTTCCGGTGCGACCTGCATTAGCTTCAGGTTAGTGCAGCTAATCTGTCAGAGTGTACCTGTGGGACAGCTGTGAGACAGCTGGATCCCTGCACAGAGAAGGGGAGAGAGAGAGAGAGAGAGAGAAAAAAAAACACAATGTTACCATTCCATTCCCAGGTCCTCAAAAGTAGCGAGAGGAATGGTTGAAACCCAATGAGAGGGGAAAAACCCTAGCTAGCGAATTGGCTCAGAAAACATCAAGAGGCTCCAATCTGTGCACGTCGACCCCTGACCCCTACATATGCTGTAGCAATAGTATGGTGATGTATGGTGTGCATTTGTATGTATACTATAGTCTTACACTAGTCACTAGGCCCTTCAAATTACAGGCCTAACTGACCTCATCTCAAAAGGTCCATTGAAGGTCCTGGTGCTCACCGATGTTGATTCAGTTTTGACCCTCTTGAGCATGTCGGACCATCAGCCACATCATGCAATCCAGACAACCCTCCGATCTCGCATCCGGCCCGCGCTGTGTCTCCGAGGATCGGATCAGCTACAGCGCTGTCCTCAGCGGATTGGCTGCGGACCGAGGGAGGTTCGACCGGCCTTTTCGTCGGCACCGCGGACGACGGTCCGTCTGTTCGCCGAGTGGATGGGGCGTAGAGATCCAAATTCCACAGACATTTGGAGAGCTGCATGATGCATAGGGATGATCACAGCAGTCTTGACTGATGGCGATATGGAGAGAGAGAGAGATGGGACGATCCCAGAATCTGAGTCGAGTTTCTGGAGCAACTCACTGGACTACCATGTTTCTGTGTTCATCGGTGAGGGCAGCAACTTAGTTAGGTTGGGTAGAAGTCAGAACTGGGCATTGCTCAGCAATTTCCGCTAAAGAGACACCCAGACTTGAATCAGTTCAGATTAGTGCATGATGGCGGATGCTAAAGCCAAGATCATGTTCATCGCCCCCCTGTCGATGGGAGAGCGGCATATCGTGGCATATCCCTCTAGAAGTTTGACAGGACTAGGTGGGCATCTACCCACATTCGTGCACTGGAAACGTCTCGAGCGCAATTTCACATCCCACAGATGGCCTCGCTCCATGGGCCTCCTACGGCTGATGTCGCTTCGCCAGGCAGGAGTGAGCCCTGGGTCGTGATCAATTGGAGTTGTTGGCCATAGGATTGGCGATGAACATTCAGATATGTCTACTTGCTGGACCATTATTTACATTTATTTACAATGTATATAAGTAAATTATACAATCTTTGGGGCGGGGTAAAACGGCGTTTGCCTTTTTGGCTGTCACCGACCTCCTTCCACTTAGTAGTGCTGTTCTTGAAAATGTCTTAACTTAGGACCAGTGCGGTGTGATGGCTTCGTATTCCTTAGCTTCCAGACTGGAATTTTACTGCAGATGTCATCACAAGAAACTACTTGTGGAGTTTGCGCATGTTGAGGTGTTATATCATGGGTGGTGCAAGAACATAAACAATTACAGTCAGTCATCACAGTAGCAGTTAGTAGCCAATACGACTAAGTCGTGCACTTGTTTTTAGTTTTCCTCTCTTCGTTCACCAGGCCCTTGTTGCAGTGTGTCATTTGATCATATTTGATCATAGATCCATTCGATCTCACTACCTCTCTAACATAAATAGACGACCGGGCACCCCGTCCGCGATGTGCGCTCGCACGCCCGGGAAACACGCGCTCTCCCGTCCGCGATCGCACCTCTCCCGTCGTGATGCTCAGGTGGTGCCCGACGTGATCTGCCGCAACACCCTGCTCCACGCACTGGAACAGCGGCTCGTCCCGGAGGGAGTCCGGAGGGCGGAGGGCCGAGGCAGGATGGTCGAGGAGTAGTGGGGGGTCGGTCGGAGGTGGTGAAGATGAGGGAAGAGACCGGGTAGCCAGGTAGACTATAAAGAGTCAGGGAAGGCGGAGAAGATGAGGACGGTGAAGATCGGATTCTTGCAGGGGACAATTGGGACGACCCTGGGCAAGTAGCCGAAAGTGGATTCAGATCACAAAGATCCACCCTAGGTTTTGGGGTTGCATTTTGTCCGCAGGCATACCTGGAGTACAGGGCCTTGACTCGCTTCCAACACTGAAAGACCTAACTTGGAAATGGGAAAGGCCCTTGAGGAG